TCAGGTCCATCTGGATAATCTCTCTATTTGGGACCTTAATTACTCTTCAAATCCTTTCACAGCAACACCTAGAATAGCCTTTGAATGAATAACTGAGAGAAGAGGGGTATACACCAGGGGCCATAAATTTGTGAGGCCATCTTAGAATTCTGCCTACCACAATTATGAAGGTTTAAAATGAGTATGTGTGGGCCGGCCCCGTGGCTTAGTGGTTAAGTGTGTGCGCTCCGCTGCTGGTGGCCCGGGTTCGGATCCTGAGCACGCACCGACGCACTTGTCCGGCCACACTGAGGCCGCGTCCCACATACAGCAACTAGAAGGATGTGCAACTATGACATACAACTATCTACTGGCGTTTTGGGAAGAAAAAAAGGAGGAGGATTGGCAATAGATGTTAGCTCAGAGCCGGTCTTCCTCAGCAAAAAGAGGAGGATTAGCATGGATGTTAGCTCAGGGCTGATCTTCCTCACAAAAAAAAATAATAATAATAATAATAATAATAATAACAAAATGAGTATGTGTGTGTATGCGTATGTGTGGTATGTGTGTATACATAACATATATATACATATGCATATACATACATATATATAGCATACACATACTATATGTATTAACATACATATACATACATTTACATATACATGCAATTATGAAGGTTTAAAATGAGTGTGTGTGTATGTATATGTGTATGTATATGTGTGTGTATGTGTGTATATATAGCATATACATAATACACAGATACATACATATATATAGCATATACATACATATGCCTTCACCCTAGGCTTATATCTTGATGTAAATCTCCTCTGGCTTATTTAATGTGATAAGTATTACACCTACTTAGCTTCATTTTCACCACACTGTACTGCTGGTTCCCTGGTAATCATTCAACCCAACTCTATAAATTCTGATTAAGCACCTAACGTGTGCCAGGCACTGCTCCAGCTCTTCAAATGCTCTCCCTCAAGGGTATGAAGTCTAGTAAGAAAAGACAAGTGTAAGCATTGCTCTAAAGTATGGCAGAATGGCTACAGAGAGGGAGAGAGAGAGAGATCCTGGCCCGTGGAGCAAATAAAAAATGCTTCAGAGATGACGTGGCATTTGATTTTAACCTTGAAGAACAGGTGGAATTGTAATAAACAGAGATTATGTAATATTACAGAGATTGTAATAAACAGAGAGGAAGGGCATAGGGCAATCCAGGGGGAAGTGAGCAAGTAATCATACGAGCAAAGACAAGGAGAGAAAGCAAGGCCCACATCCAGAGAAGAGCTGGCACATCAGTTTGAATAGAGAATAATGAGAGATGCAATTAGAAGGGTATGTTGGTGTCAAACTGAGGCCTTGGAAACCAGACTAAAAAGTAATGGAGAACTATGGAAGAATCATCAGGGGAAATAATAAAATTAGTGCTGCGCTTTAGAAATATGAGTCAGGTGGTAGTGTGCAGGCTAGAATGAACAGGGAAACCCCGAACACTTGTGATGGGAGGTGAGAAAGGAGGCTTTGCCAGTTGTCCATGCTACAGATATAAAAGCCAATGCTCAGGGAGTGAACACAGAAATGAAAATCAGAGAGGTCTGCCCAAGGTGCAAAATCTGGGTAAAAGAGAAAGGAGTAGTCACTAATGACTCAGAGGTCTCATGTGTATGACTGAAGAATGTTTCCTGATTAGTTTATCATCACCTCACATATATCAAATGACCTTGCTTTATGACTCAAAAAAATCACACATTCATAGTATTTTGCGGCTGGAAGGGATCTCAGAGACCTCAGGAAGAGGCAATGGAGAACCAGCCAAGTTAAATACAATTTCAAAGACACTCGGCTGATTAGTAGCAGGCTCGGGCAAGGAAGCCCAGGCCTCTGCATTTCCCATCAAACCAACTGCTGGTTCCCTGGTAATCATTACAAAACTCTTTTAGGGGTAATTTGCAAAAGGTAAATAGCATAACTAGTCACTGGGCAAAGGCAAGAATGGGGCTGTTGTTTGGTAGAAGTGAACTGGAACAATTTCAAGACTAATTTGGATGCTCGTTCTCTCCAAATTACTTTCTGAAATGGCAGTTTCCAACATTTTTGCAAGAGATGAGTACACAACACAGGTAAATTTTGCACATAGATAGATATATAGAGAGAGAGAGAGCGAGAGATGCTAGAACTGCCTTCAGAATTTCAACATAACAGCGGGTTTTCTATTATCTCTAGAGCTTTCCAGTGGTTTGAACTCAAAGGTTGGAACTCCCTTTCAATGTTGGTTCTTAAGTTGAGGGGTGAGGGAGGCACCGCCAGGAGCCACTTAGATATTTCCAAAGGAAAATCCTCCTGTTAACTTAATCACAGGAGAATGACTGCAGCTGGCTCTTTGGCCATTTCTTCCACCAGTTTGAGTATTCACTAATCATACCAAACAGTTGCTGAAAGCAGTGGGTTCTGGAAGCTATTGTTTCTGTGCCTGGCCAGGATGCTTGCATTTCTCCATTCTTCTGATAAACACTCCTCTTTTCCTTGTGGGAAATCCATTCCCATCCTTAAAGCTTTAGAGAATGGACTGGCAGAAAAATTTCCAAAGGTTGGAATGTGTGGTTGTTTCTTGTGGGCTTCGTTAAACTCCAAGAAAGGGAGCTGAGCCTATCTCCACGCAGAAATGTAACAGCACACATCTTTGTTAAGAGAGGCCCTCACTTACTATGCTAAGTGAAATGAGTCAGACAGAGAAAGACAAATATTATATGATCTCACTTATATGTGGAATCTACAAAGCTGAACGGATAGAAATAGAGAGTAGAATGGTGGTTACCAGGGGCTGAGGGGTAGGGGAAATGGGGAGATGTTGGTCAAAGGGTACAAACTTCCAGTTATAGGATAACTAAGTTCTGGGGATGTAACATACAGCATGGTGACTATAGTTAACAATATTGTATTGTCTACTTGAAAGTTGCTAGGAGAGTAGATCTTAAACGTTCTCACACACAAAACAATATATATTTATATATGGTAATTATGTGAGGTGATGGAAGTGTTAACTAACCTTATTGTGGTAACCATTTTGCAATATATATGTGTAACAAATCATCACATTGTACACCTTAAACTCACACAATGTTATATGTAGATTATATCTCAAGAAAGCTGAAAAAAAAGAGAAAGAGAGAGAGAGGCCCTCGTTGACTGGCAATCGCAATCCAAGATGGCTGATGGTCAGGTAACAGGCCTTGCTCGGTTGGAAAGCCATGTCTTCTACCCTTGTTAAAGTTGATGTGAGTAGAGATTAAAAGATGGAAAATAAGATTAGGGGATAAGCAGACAAATGAAGGAAGCCTAATTCCCTGGGTCCCTCCCAAACATTTCCTGCTATGTACCCTCTATTGACAGAGTGACAAATCCCCCATTGTAAAGCGCTGTCCACTGGAATCTTCCTGGAAGCAGGGTTATGTGGGTGCTTCCTCACCATCCCAGCCTATTGTTTTATGCTGCTCTGAGGTAAAGGGCAGGATGTAAGGGGTTAAACTGATATTTGGGCTAAGAGCAGAATTCCTCAGGCTGTTGCTAGGATTCCTAAACCACAAGGAAAAGGTCCAGATTCAAAGGTCATAAACTTGACAAGATTTGTGGTATTAGCTACAAACTAACGGAATTCCTGGGAATCAAATCCACTGGCTGGCTGCCTGCTGGTTTAAAGAAATGTACTGCCAGGGAAATCCCAGCCTGGCAAACAAGGACCTGTGATTGCTCAATCCCTAAAGCAATTCCCCCACCCGGATACCGGACAACTGCCTGTGAGAAGCAGAAGGTTTAAGCTGTGTGGCACTCAGCAGAGATCCTTCTCGCTGCATCTCTTAGGTGCGGCTTTGGAGGAAATGAACAAGTGTACTCTCTCATCAGACAGAGCCCAAGGCAGCCAAACTGACTGACCAAGTGACCCATTCTGCTGCCAGAGCAGAAGACACTTGCTTTTCCCATCCAGCAGGACGTGGTCATTGTTATGGGCTCCCTGACCACTACACAGCACTTTATCTTTTCCTCCTTTCTAAATCAAAGTACTTCTTGTGGTTTCCCAGTTTTCTCTTTCATATTATATACTGTGGTTTGAGAATGGTTAAATTTGCCATTTCATCACAGATTGCTGAACGGATCATGAGAAACATGTCTGGATTTGATCAAGAGGAGTGGATCATTCCAGGAATCCTGGTCTTGGAGCTGGATGCAGTAACAGACCCACTTTCGAGTTGTCTTCCACTAGGGTTCCATTTTTGGTTGTACGGAGGATAATTCCACTTTCTTAATGGAGGGTGTTTTTCTTAATAGTATCTGTGTGTATGTGTGCACATGCTCAGCAGCCAAATGGTTGAAAGTAGTGGACTGTTGTAGCTTTTTGTTTTGATCTGCCAACATGTTTTTCTATGCCTCTCTTCCTGATGGGGGTCATGTCCCCCTCTCACTGCAACCCTGGTGGGGTTGTCAATCACACTGATCTGCCCCCAATCAGCCATACGAGTAAGCCCAAAACCCAAGGCATGCGGATCATAGTACCCCATCTCCTATTAACAGTGATTCATCCAACGGATAGTCACTTAACCTAGGAGAAAAGATTCTTTCCCTGAATTGAAAAACTTTCTGTTTCCACTGAAGTTGCTGAGCTGGGGCAGTTGGTGCCCATCTTTCCCCATCACATGGGCTACAGTAGAAGAAAATGAGGCCAACTCACACTTAGAAACAGAGAGCAAAGACAAGAGACAGAAAGGGAGAGTTCCACTCATGGTGTCGAGTCCCAGGTCCCCAGTTCCTGGAGTCCTGATGATGTTGCTCTGGTTCTGATCACATAAGCTCCCACCCCCTCATATTTTTAGCTATGGCTTTTTGCTTAAGCTAGTATGAGATGGGTTTCTGTCACCTGTGACAATTTAAAAAGAAATCTCATTAACATACACTTGATGCCACAGATTGGACAGAGGAGAAATAGGGCAGCATTCTTAGGCAGAAAATGGTTTTACCTTTCACCTGAGCCCAAACTGCACAGGAGTATCTTCTCATCTGCAAAGGAAAACACAGCAACACATTTAATAGGTGGCACATGATGTCAGTTTAAATAATACACTTTAGCCCTCCAAGTTTCAGGGTTTTACCACTTAATTTGGACTAGATCTTTAAAGTCTCATCTAGCTCTAACATCTTATAACTTACCCATATGATCAATCACCAAGTGTTCAAGGGACTGGCATGGGTAGCAGGGACAGAAGTGACCCTAGGGATCAATTCTGTAGCTTTCCAATAGATCTCAGAAAGCATACACTGCAGGTAAACAACAGAAATGGCAATAAGTTTCATTCCCTTTGCCAGCTCCAAGCCACTGGCATTGACTGCCTGGAGAACTATGTTGAAAAGGATTCTGAGGTCACATCTAGGTTCAGCAATAAGCAGTGATGCATGTTATAGGCAAGGTTATGAGAAGTCCTGGTCTATAATAACACTTCACCTATTAGATGATATTTACCCATAAACCTCAGTTACCCAAAATGTAGCCAAGAACCAGGAAGAGAAGAAAAAGAATATGTATGAAAGCTCATCCATGGTAGAAGGGACCCACAAACTCATTGAAGTGAAATAACTTTTCTTCTTCTCCCCCACTGTTATCATATGCATATTTGTCTGCTAAGAATGCTGAGATAACTGTCTATGATAAAACTCAGCAAAATATTCCCCCGAGGAAACTGAATAGCAGGGGTTAGAAAAAGATCCCTCCAACTTCAATAGGAGATTCTCTTTCAAGTAACAACCTTGGGCATTCTGGTTTTATTTTATTAAAAATTTTAAAAACATATTTAAATTAAAAATTCTGGGAAAAGCTTAAAATGGCCATAAGGGTTTGAATGTGACTACATTTTTCCTTGATGCTAAGTGCATCAAGTACATTTAATGGAAAGTAATACGCAAGAATAACCAGTGAAGGACATATTTCAAGACATTGGAGAAGAAAGGGGCCCTCAAATAACAAGGCAGGTACCAAGGAACTAAGTGTATGAAATGAGAGACATTGGCAGGGCCAGGTGAAGAAGGGAGCCCATTAAAATGGAGTGCCTTGATCAGATTTGCATTTTATAAAACTCATTCTGGCAGTAGTATGGAGCAAAGAGACAGGCAGAATAAGAGACAGGAAGATGAATTAAAAAATCGATGTTCAGCCAAGAGATGTCAAAGGCTAAACAGTGCTAATGAAGAAGGAGAGGAAAGGTTGATTTTAAACAGCATCAAGGTGATAGAATTGACACAGTTTGATGATGGACTAGACAAGAAGATAAGAAAAAGGGAGGATACAAGAATTATTCCTAGATTTCTGTCTTAGCAACTGGGAGCATGATGGTGCTATTGATTGGGACAGATACACAGAAGGAATAGCAAAAAAGCACAATGAGAGAATTGGAAAATTCACACTTCCTAATTTCAAATTTTACTACAAAACTACAGTAATCAAAACAGTGTGGTACTGGAATAAAGACAGACATATAGACCAATGGAATAGAATACAGAGCCCAGAAATAAACACTTGCATATATGGTCAAATGATTTTTGACAAGGGTGCCAAAACCATTCAATAGGGAAAGGAAATCTTCTCAACATGTGGTGCTGGGAAAACTGGATATCACATGCAAATGAATGAAGTGGGACCCTTACCTAACACCATATACAAAAATTAACTCAAATGGATTAAACCTAAATATAAGACCTAAAGAAAACATAGAGGAAAAGCTTCATGAAATTGGATTTGGCAATGGTTTCTTGGATATGACACTAAAGGTACAGGCAACAAAAGCAAAAATTGACAAATTGGACTTCATCAAATTAAGAACTTCTGTACACCAAAAGACGCTTCAACAGAATAAAAAGGCAACCTACAGAATGGGAAACAATATTTGCAAATTGCATATCTCATTAGGGATTAATATCCAGAATATATGGAGAACTCCTAAAACTCAACAAAGAAATAAATAATGCAAAAATGGGCAAAGGACTTGAATAACCATTTCTCCAAAGAATATATATAGATTGTCAACAGCACATGAAAAGATGCTCGATATCACTAATCAACAGGGAAATGCAAACCAAAACCACAATTAGATACCACCTCACATCCATTAGGATGGTCATTTTAAAAACAGAAAACAGCAAGTATTGGAGAAGACGTGAAGAAAATGGAACAGTTATGCACTGTTAGTGGGAATGTAAAATGAGGCAGCTGCTATGGAAAACACTATGGCAGTTCTTTAAAAAAATTAAAAATGGAATTACCATATGATCCAACAATTCTACTTTTGGGTACATACCCCCAAAAAATTGAAAGCAGAGACGCAAAGAGATATTTGTACACCCATGTTCATAGCAGCATTATTTGCAATAGCCAAAAGACAGAAGCAACCCAAGCGTCCATCCACAGATGAATGGATAAAGAAAATGTGGTATATACATACAATGGAATATTATTCAGCCTTAAAAAGGAAGGAAATTCTGACACATGCTACAACACAGATGAACCTTGAGGACATCGTGCTAAATGAAATAGGACAATCACAAAAATACAAATACCATATGATTCTGCTTACATGAGGGAACTAATGTAGTCAAATTCAGAGAGACAGAAAATAGAAAGGTAGTTGCCAGGGGTTGTTAGGGGGAGGAGGAATGGGCAGTTGTTTAATGGCTATAGAGTTTCAGTTTTACAAAATGAAAAGAGTTCTGGGGATTGGTTGCATAACAGTGTAAATGTACTTAACGCTACTAAACTGTACACTTAAAAATTGTGGGTTTTTTTACACCAAACGTCTCCTAGGGCGACCGTCACAGTGGTTCTTCCAGAAGACCTTCCATCCCTGACTGACTGATCCAGCTCTTGCTGTTCTGTCTGTCCAGCTCATTATATTTATTCATCATGTAATGAATATACAGTTCTACGTTTCATGGAAGAACCACTTCCGGAAGAAACAGCCTTTCTAAAGCCAGGGGAGAGGACAGTAGGGCCTATGCCGAAGGAAGTGATGGAAACAGAAAATAAGGCAATGCTGAGCTTAATCTGCCCCTCCTCCCTACTTCTGGGAGAATGAGGAGAGTCAGCAGCCTGGCAGGAGTACAGGGAAGTGACAGAGCAATCTAGATGTTCCTCTCCAACCCAGGCTTCAGCAGTGCAATAGGATGAGGTCATTCACCAGGCTTAAGAGGAAGAACCGAAACCAGGTCAGTCCAAATGCAGATCCAACCAGGTCCCCCAGGAAGTTCAGACTGTCTACCATCCATAAAGGTTTCACCTGCCCATCCTTTATAAAGGCAAAGTATTCAATACATTTTTATGGTTATATCTCAAATACTGGGAAAATAAATGTTCAAACATTTAAATTTCATGGGAAGAAGAAAATATAGAATTAACAAGAGCTTTTAAAGAAACATACCTTATTCCATTCACTTGTGATTCGTAATATAATGCAGTAATCATTGCCTGTTTTCAAGGGGGCATTATAGTATTTCCCGTAGTACAGCCTGTCTCCAATAGCTATCTCCATGGCATCATCTGGAACATCTTTGGCCAGTAGTTCTGCAGCCACATATCCATTAGCATCAGAAGCATTGCTGAAGAACGAGGTAGCCCCTTCAGAATCACAAGAAAATGTGCTTTGGAAGGCCAGAGGAAGCACTATCACCTGATATGAACTGGAAGAAAAAAGAAAAATGTCTATTTGACTCTTGCTTGGGGTATTCATTCATTCATTTATTCATATTTATTGAGCACCTGCTATAAGATAAGCACTTTTCTCAGCACTGAAAATATAACATTGGACAAGAAAAAGTCCTCGCCCACATGGGATTTACAGTCTGACAGCTTTAAAAGTCATGGAGCTGCAGTTTTAACCTACAGTGTCAATGCCAGATGACACTGGGCAGGGAATCTCTTCAAGTTGTGGCTGCAGATGGATGCCAAGTACATCCTCTTCATCTGGGAGAAGTTGTTGCGTGTATCACTGCCCTGCGTGTACAAGTCATCAAGTTGATCTAATCAGTGATTTTCACTTGGGCAAATAAACCCCAGCTGTGGAAAGGGCTTAACAGTCACATGGAGGCTGACTGCCTACAGGAGTTAATGTACTAAGCCTGCAAAAAGGCTCCAGAAGATCACATGGCAACCTAAAACAGAACTCATGTGACTTACACTCCCTCCAGTTCACAGACTGATACCAAAGTTCATGTGCGATAAATGAGAAGAAAGGGGTGTAAAGTCACCATGAGTCAACCTAGTCTGACAATATCCTGAAACAGCCAGAAAGGCAAAATGTCATAATGCACATTGTGACCCTGTTCCCTAAATGTGGACATAAAAAGACACCAGCATTCGAGTGTCGTTGTATCATGTGTTTTATTATTATTTATCCCACCAAACAGAAAACCTGTCCATGAAGGGAAGTGTAAGAATAAAAATGCACTGAAGACACATGTGTGTGGTGATGGGTTGTAGTTAGTATTTGGGTGGTGAACCTGATGTAATCTCTGCAGAAATAGAAGTATAATGATGTACACCTGAAATTTATACAATGTTATAAACCAATGTTACCACAATAAAAAATAATAAATAAAAAAAATGCACTGAGGAAGAATCATGCCCTCCTTTTTATTCCCATCTACTTATCACTTATCTCCTGCCTCGAGGACAGAAGTGTTTGAACGTCTGCTTTCTCTTCAGGCCTGAGAGCAGGGATTTAGATGATTTTCTTTGAAATCCTTGCACAGTTCTTTGGCTAAGGTTGACTCCCCACTCATGTTTCTTGAGTTGAAATTTCAATAAAGAGGAAAAACATGCATCAGCACCAAATATGATTAGGGTAATTTCCAAAACTCAGGAGGCCACGTGATTCTACTTCACCAGTCAATACACTCTTCCTGCTCCACATTCCTATAGCCCCATCTCCTACTTCCTGAGGGCTCCTGAGTCACTAGGTTAAGAAAAAGGAGCCCTCCCCAACAGCAGCTGTTGGATTTGGAAAGTATCGACCCAAGAGGCTCCCAAAATTCCTAGGTGTCCTCAGGGCCCTGATTTCCACAAAGTCTGGGTTCACTCTCAGCAAAGGGCTTTCTACAAAAGGGACAAAGTAAAGCCTGCAGGGCGCTGAGTTGTCACCGCCACCACCAGTAAACATTTACTAAGCCTCCACTGCCTACAAGGGAACACCTAAAACAGCAAACTTTCCTGGGGACTTGAAGACACCCCTACGAATCAGAGCCACAGGTAAGAAAGTAAATGTTGCAGCAGCTCCATGCTGTCCATAAGCGCATCTTCAAATTCCTCTCGTCTTTCCACGTAGGTGGTGGTGTTCAAATGCAAGTTCAAGGTTCACCTGAACTCATTTGGCTCTGTACATGCCCACTAGAGGCACCATTCACGGGGCATAAAGCAGTCTCTCCAATAGCATTATAATCATCATAATCACCTGAGTTGTTTGATAATCATACCAATTCCCAGCCCCTATCGCACACCTACTGAATCAAAATCTCCATGAGTAGAGTCTGAGAATTTCTACTGCTGATAAAGATTCCTATAATCTGGCAAGTATAGGAGACACTAGCATGAAGAGAGCCCAGGAACAGGCGGCATCACCCACCGAGATCACCAAGCTAAGGAAGGGAGCCTTGGTCCCAGAGCACCTGCTCCACCGTGTGCCCCCTAACAATGCACAAAGCAGATTCAGGCCCGTCTCACACACCGGGAGGCTGCTATCCTCAGCTGAAACCAGGTAGACAGGCTGAGGACACGGCCCCACTCACCTGATGGTAATTAGCCCTGATGACGTCAGGGAAGCAGTTGTGGCTGTTTAGAACATGACTGTTCTGGAAGGACAACTCCCCTTTTTCTCATCACCACCCTCCCTTGAATGACTCACTGATCTCCACTTCCTGTTTTGGAGGCACTGGCCGGCACATAACCACAAGGATAGATTGTCATTGGCTTTTCTTTCTGCCTGACGTAATTATTTGGCCTAAATATCACATTTGCTCTTGCAAATTCTCTCAGGCAGTGATATCACAACTTCTGCTCTCTTTATAGCAACAGAATTACAATGCCTTCCAGTAACTTGTCAGGAATCAAGAAATAGAACAATTTAGGCAATATCCACGCCTGGAAAGACTTCTGAACTTTTACTGAATTTAAACTAATGGAAAGGCAGGCAAAGCCTAAGTTTCATTCTAAATGGACATACAAATAATATCTCCAGACTTTCTTTTTTATAATTTTATAATATCTCACATTTATTTTTACGTTGATTGTACTGAAGGGTCATTAGACTGAAGGGTCAAGAGAGACCTAAGGCAATGTAGGTTAAGTCAAGGATGTCAAGGTTATTGTCATCTCCTTGACTTATTCCTGTGAGCAAGTTTTTCATCTCTCCAGGTGAACCTCAATCTTCCTCTCTAAAAAAGGGAATAATTCTGCTTTCATAATCCTACCATGACCTTTGTAAATAAAATGCTTAATTGAACACTATGTAGTCCACCAACTGAGGTAAATTAATTCCATCTAATACCATCTAGAATCCCAGGAGCAGTCATTAACTACGTAGTGTCTACGTAGTCAATATGTGAATGAATTAAAAGAATTATCCAAATGACCCTGTCAGAAACCACTACAAACATCCCAAGATCATCCTTAAATAAGAGATAATATGCTCTGTCTTTGGTAAATGAAATGATGCTCCTGATTCACCATCACTATGATGTACATGGAGATGTGAGTGCAAAGAATAACACTTGACACGTCATAGACACTCAACCAATGCTTGTCCAATCACCAATGAAATGGATTCAATTTTTTTAGCTAAGCTGCCCAAACGCTTGTCTCTGGTCCCTTAGAAGTCTCTCTACTTGCTTAGGAGGGTGCTGTTTGGAATTAAAGGCTCAGTCTGTGCTCAAAGAAACAAAAAAAGAGGACCTGACTGCATTGCCCCAAGTACTCAGGTAGAGTCACCTAAATGAAGTCTCCTCCTCACTCAAACCAAAGTTTCCAAAACACTCCAAGGGGATCACAGGGCAACCACGGGAAAGGGGCCACTACTAACCTGATGGGTCCATTTCTCTCCTTGGCTTTCCTCAGTCTCAGGCGTGGTAGAAGCCCTCCATGCACTGTGAAAAAGTCTACTTCTGGAAGGGGAGGCTCTGAAAACATGTTGAAAAGAAGAAAAGGGTACGATCAGAACAAGTAAAAGCACGAAGCAAGTGGTCCTTGTGGGGCCATCAAAAGGAAAATTTTAATGTAGGAAGTGATGAGCATATTCTGACACATGCTACAACATGGAAGAATCTTGAAAACACTATGCGAAGTGAAATAAGCCAGACACACAAGGACAAAGATTGTATGATTCCACTCATATGAAACAACTAGAACAGGCAAATTCAGAGATAGAAGTAGATTAGAGGTTGCCAAGGATTGAGGGGGTGGGAAGGGAGTGGGGAGGTATTGCTTAATGGTCAACAGAGTTTCTGTTTGGGGTGACAAAAACATTTTAGAAATAGACAGTGGAGATGATTTACAACACTGTGAATGTACTTAATGCCAATAAACTGTGTAATGAAAAATGGTGAAAATGGTACATTTTATGTTCTATACATTTTGCCACAATAAAAAATTTTTTTTATAAAAAGAAGAAGAAGTGATACCCCAGCACTGACAGAGGGTAGATGCTGTGGGCATTACAGTTTACTTGGTGGATAGGGTCCTATTTGGTGGGGAAGACCAGCATATCATTCCAGATCCTTTATAATCACACAGCTCTCTGTCTTTATTTTGTTCTCCCCAGAAACCAGGTTTCCCAAATAGATTTTCCGCTGGGAGGAAAATATACTAATTGGCTGACACCAGTGTTCTAGCATCTAACCGGTAGTTACATTCATGGTATAAAGGCACCAGCTGCTTTCAGCCTTATGGCAATACACCTGCCTTAGATGCACTGGGCACTAACCAAACGCACTATACATGTCCTGTATATGTCTCATCTCATTTAATCTTCTCACAATGCTATCAAGCTGTGAGCTTTATGGAGACAATCAGTTTCTCCCTCTCTTAGCGTTCCTACATTGGCCCAAGCGATAGCAACTTTCCTTTCCAAACCATTAGGAAAAGAGCTTCCACCTGTCTTTCTACGCCTCTGATTTGTGAGACAGCTAGAGTTTGGATGATGTTCCCACGTGGTTTCACCCTATTTTTTTTTCCTTTTTTTTGCAGGGTAGGGGGCAGCCTGCACGCAGGACAGGTGTTTCTCTTCCTGCTCCTGTTCTGCACGCACTAGGCAAGCCTGAGTCAAGGCAAGTCTGAAGCCAGGGCTACATTTGCCCTATAGATTCAATTTACCCATAGGTGGGGTCCAAAATTTAGATGTGGGAGGAAGTTCCAGGAAGCTTCAGACCCAAAGGTCTTGGCCTCAGACCCAAGCCAGTTTTATTGACAATAAAACTCATCATTTGATCCCTATCTTACTCTTGTTTATATTGAGAAAATAGCTTTGGGGTAGAAATCCTCAGTCCAAATGATAATAAAAACTTAGGCCTGCCTAGATAGTTTTTAAAGCTCTGTAAATGTGTTATTCATACACGCCCAGGCAACACACATTTATTAGCCACATCTATGCACCAGGCACCATACAAGGCTGAGAGAGACAGTCATGAAAGACAATTTCTTCTTTCCAGGAGCTCAGAGTCTAATAGTGGAGACAGTTTTGTAAACACGCAGAGCTTAGAGCTATGATAAATTGATACACAGGGTGTTGTGGGAGTGCAGAGGAAGAACAGCTGACCAAGGGCAGGCGGTAAACCCATCAAATTCAGAAACAGGTATATGCAGGGGCAGGAGGTAGAGGAGAGAGCCGGCAGAGACAGAACTACAAGTAGTTCAGTATGGTCGAAACATTGAGTCCCAGTGGGTAGAGGCAGGCAATCAAGTGAGAGGTGGGGTTACGTAAGGTCAGCTCTGAGGTCCTGGAAATAATGAGAAGTCATTTGAAGATTCTTAGCAGATGAGGATTTTAGAAATACATCTTAGGGACAGCCCGGTGGCGCAGCGGTTAAGTGCGCGCGCTCTGCTTCGGTGGCCCGAGGGTTCGCAGGTTCAGATCCTCGGCGCCACGGACGCACCGCTTGTCAGGCCATGCTGTGACGGCGTCCCATATAAAGTAGAGGAAGATGGGCACAGATGTTAGCCCAGGGCCAGTCTTCCTCAGCAAAAAGAGGAGGATTGGCATCGGATGTTAGCTCAGGGCTGATCTTCCTCACACACACACACACAAAAATACATCTTAGCTGGTTGGAGAATGAATTGGAAAAGAGCATAAGCACAAGTTGTCCAAAATTTGGGTAAGAAGCGCCTGAGGTGTGAAGGGAGTGATGGCACGGAGAAGGGAGAAGAAAGAGAGGCAGATGGGAGAGCCACGCAGGGGAGAGAGGAACAGTACGTACCAGAAGGAAGGGGAAGGAACCTGGGCTTGGGTTTCGGCAGCTGAGTCAGTGGTGACGTCAGCCATCAAGGTCTGGGGGAAAGTACAGAAGCAGCTCCCTTCTAGACCTGGTCAGTTTGAAGTGCTTGTGGAATTGTCGAGCAGGGAGTTAGAAACACAGATCCAGAGCTCAGGAGTAAACTGTGGTGGCGATACGGAGTCAGCCATCAGTAGGAGAAGATATGGCTGCCCAGGGGGACGGTATAAATGCATCCGATAAGAGATGAGCACCCAGGGCGGACCACCGGGAAACCCAGGCATCTAAGCCCAAGTGGAAGAGTGAGAGTTCCCTATAGTTTTTATTAAACAGTGCTAAATCTAGAATGTCTTCCAAAGTCATCCAGATGTAGTCACATAGATTATGTTTTCCATAAACCTGTGGGATTGCCACGGACCCTAGGAGGTCACCTGGAAAACCCCTGCTTACAGTTAAGGCTTCACACAAACGTGTTGAAGGTCTATGCTGTTTCCAAGAGGAGTCTAGAAAGAGATTCCATAACTGACACCCCTGAGGAAGACAATCGCTAGGTTCCAGCAGCAGTAATGGGGATAAGGGGAACTGAGTTTGAAAAGCCCCTACCAGCTCCGCCAGGGGAATGTGCCCCATCCAGTGGGAGAATTCTGCCCTCAGCCCTTCATACTGTCACTGAAATGCGCCTTCATTTGTGATGTTTTGTTGTCACAGTAAAGAAAGTGGTTTTTACCACACATTTCCTGTTTTCAGCCCTGAGGGAGATTAACTGCTCACTCTTTTTCGTGTGAGAACCTGCCTCAGGCTCTTGCAAATTATTCCTTTGTTTGCTCTTCTCTAAGATTAATAATTCTAGTTCCTCTAATCTTGTGGCTAACCTTTTAAAACCACTTGGCTTTTCATCACCCTCAGTAACAGCAGAACAAAGTGCTCACTCAGCTTGGAGAAGGTTGACCCACAGGCCAACCCACAGACCAAGCAGGAAGGCCACCACATTGCTCCTTCCAGTCTAACATCATTCTTGCAATTCTAAATGTGCCACTACCATCTGGTTGACTCAACCAACATGCAGCTTCTAGACTGTTTTCTGCTCTGCCTGCTTAAGGCCTTCCCCACTTTATATTTTAAACAGTCTACTTTTTCTCTCTAATGTAAAAGCCTGAACTTCATCAGACTGGTTCTTAGCCACGTTTCGAGGTTAAATAATTTTAACTTCTAGCCATATTTTCCAAGGTGCTGTTTCCTGTCCCCCAAACTGCTGTCCCTGGCAGACCAGCTCTCCTTTCCATTAGCCTTATTACTGATTTAAACCAAATCAGACCCAAGGCAAGAAATGGATTGTGTCTGGGCTGGAGAATGTAGTTCTTGCTCTCTGGGTATGTGAGATGGGGGAAGACCCAGGAGAGAGACCCTCAGTACCATTCCTAGGTGTCAACAATATCCATCCTCTACTAGAAGCAGACAACAAAGCAAAATATGGGGGCTGTCGTGTGAGAAAACTTTGAAGAGTAAGGAGAAAAGCCATAAAGGAGACCTGCAAAACATTAAATATATTATAAAATTGCAATAATTGAAATAGTAAGGTACAAGCACAGGACAGGCAAAGCAATGGAAGAAGCTAGACAGTCTAGAAAGAGACCCAAATAAATAAATGAGAATGCAGTGTGTGACATGGACAGTCTTCCCAAAGGTCATGGGAAACCGGTTTACCATTTGGGGGAAAAAAATTACCATGTAAATTCAGCCTTATACCACACATCAAAACAAACTCCAAATGGGTCTACGTTTAAAGGCAAAAAGAAAAACTATTACGAAGCATTAGAAAATATTAGAGAATAAGAATTGATCTGATTTCAGGGCAGGGAAGGCATGACTAGAGGCAGAAACTATAAAAGAATCAATAGAATTGATCACATGAAAATTTAAAACATCTAAATGTCAAAAAGAATATTGGAAAGGAAATTAAAGAGTAAATAACCTGGAGGGATATCATATGTACAACAAAAGATTAATATCATTAATGTAGTCAAACTATTAATATCAATAAGAGAAAGGAGGTAGTGTAAGTGCAAATGTGTGAAAATTCCTCTAAAACCCACCAAAATAAACAAAAAGAACCAAAAATAGAAGAAAACTTTATCTGTAGGAAAACTAAACAAAGGTCCCAACTTTATACTATAAACTTCAAGTAAATGCAAGGAATTAACACACATAAGTAAAAATACACAAATAAAGACACAGTGATGTTTCTTTTCTAATCCTCAGCACCTCCCCAGATAGATCACACCACCCACTCAACACTGGATAAATTGAAATTGATGGCAATAGAAAAAATGGTAGCTTATGCCATAAGTCGTAAGATATCGCAAGGCTAGCTACCTCTCCCCTATCAATAAAGTTACGAGACTTGGCCTCCCAGGGAGAAGGAACAATCTTCTTTTCATCCTTATATCCCCGTCAGCACTTAGCACAGGTTTTGTTCCACAATCAATGAAATATTTGCTGAATTAAATTAAGTCGCACCATGCCCCTCCCCCCCTCCTACCACACACAGAAACCCTGGTTTTTAGGCTTCTGATATAAATAACAAACTTTCCCATTTATATTTTGTAAAAGCTAACCTTAATACCAGAAAATAAGCCCGTTTTCCAGCCCATCCAGCCCGTTTTCCTCTGTGGTGTATCATCTTGCCTCAGTGGGCCTAAGCCAGGGCGTGGATGCTTTGAGTGAGAGGAGCTGGGAGACACTCATCTCCATATAGCCACTTTCTTGGGGGTCTGGGGGTTTGACTTGAAGCTAGAAAGTAGTTGGAAGATTTCTGGGGATGAGAGGAATAGGTAGGTGCCTCAGGGAGGTACGGAAGGGCACGTGTGCCTCCCTCCTGGCCTGACCTAACATTAGGTCTTCAGATGTCAAAAAGAACCTGTGTCCACAAAAGACTTTGAGAGAATTTGGACAAAAAAGGGAAACAGTTGGGTTGAAGGTGAGTCCCTCTCCTGACCTCTGGTTCAGCTTCTGCACCCTGGGAGCCAGGGGGACCAGCAGGAATAAGTGTGGTACCCTGGAACCAGCCTGAGGACACAGAAGTATGCTGTCTTTGGATGGTTTGTGGGTAGCCACGCAGGGAAGAGAAGCCTATGGCAGAAGAATTCAAGAGACTTGGTCCAGCACAGTCCTTCCTGAGGACAGCCAATAGTAAGAGAGGAGGTGTCAAAGGTGAGGCTCTGGTCCCTAGTTTCATAGGGAGAATCAGAGCTATCCTGACTGGACCTCTCTATTAAAGGGACAGTCTGATAATGCTTGGGACACATCTGTGTTTTCCGCTGCTTTCCTGAACATCTGAAAAAGTACATTCTATTTTCCTTATTATGAATGCACGTAGAGATGGGAAATTCCCATATAGATAGCCAGCCTTAGTACTGAAGGTAGACTCAGGAAGGAGTAATTTCGTTTACATATTTTCTTCCCTTTTCTCCTCCAGCATTCTTGGTTCCCTAAAAAACATTCATGGGGGCCAGCCCGGTGGTGTAGCGGTTAAGTTCATGAGCTCCACTTCGGTGGCCCAGGGTTGACAGGTTCGGATCCCGGGTGTGGACCTACACACCACTCAGCAAGCCATGCTGTGGCGGCGTCCCATACACAAAATGGAGGAAGATGGGCACGGGTGTTAGCTCAGGGCCAATCTTCCTCACAAAAAAACCAAAAAACAAACATTCATGTTGTGTAATGTTCACCATGTTGTGTCGTACAAGTAGTTTATTTATGCATGCATTTGCTTTCTCTCCTTCTCTCTCTCTCCCCACTTGTCCCTCTCCAGTGTTCTCTCTCTCCCTATGAGAAAAATTTTGCCTACAAGCTTTTTGACTTAGCTAAAAAATAGCATAACCAATGAGTGAAAGCTCCTCTGACTCTTTGGGGCTACGTCAAGGATGAGAGTTTGATCCTCACGCTGTCCTAAAGGAAGCAGAAGTGGTGGAGCCATTCTGAAGAATTGGGATCAATGGGCTACCTGAGGAAGCACGCCAGCCACGAGTCAGAAACACCGTGACGGCATCCGCATCTCACCCACCCCTCACCAGCACCCTCCTCCATTTTCACTGCAACACTTGCCTCTGTCCTTCCATGTTCCTAGAACTTTCACCCTCCTCTGAGGTCAGCAATATATTTGAAGGGCTTGTTTTCATTCTGTTCCCATTAGTAAGACTTAGTTTAATGTAAGACACTCAGAAGCGAAATTCCATTCACTTTTCTTCTGGGAAATCAGCTATTGCGTTTTCCAGACCCAAATCTCTTGCCTCATATTTCTGGTGAAATTCAAAAGTTCACAATTCTACGGAGACAAAGGCACATGTAGGCAACCAGGCATACTTCTTCACATCAACATATCAAGTTCTGTTTTTCCCCCTTTTATAAAAGAGAGGGTTTGGGTTTGTTGCTTTTCTTTTTGTACCCTTTCATAAGACATTAACCACTTGAATTTTCCCACTTTTTAAAAATTGCGAATTCTCTAAAATAGAGTAGAGTTGAAAAATATGTAGTCATGGTCTCAATGAATTTAGCTTCAGGGTCTCAATGAACTTAAACAGCTCAACAGTGTCCCCTGGTGGCCATGAGCACAGACACAGGGTGCTGGAGCTACTGGGGCTATATTTAGCCTACAAAACAAGGTAGAAATAAGTGTCTCATGGAGATGAACCTCCCTCTCCCCAACTCAAAAAATATGAAATGCTAATTTGAATCAGCAATGCAAACCATCCAAACACAACAAGGACCATAGAGAAGGAGATTGAATAGCTGTTCACCTTAATAAGTGACTACAGGAAGGAAGGCCCAAATTGCACATTACTTCTCTTTCCAGCTCAAAATTTGGTAAATTTTTTTTTCGGTCTAAAGCCTTTCTTAACTAATCAGGCATCTCCTCAATACGCCATACCACCCACTGGCCATTTTGGGGTTGACTCTCGTATTCATTCATTACAAAAATATTTCTTTGCTGTGCCATGTGTTAGCACTGTCCTTATGTGTTAGGGATTCAGTGCAGAATATACAGAAAAAAATCTTCAGGGAGCCTCCTATTTTAGTAGCGGAGAAAGAAAATAAACAAGTAAATTAAAAAATACAAGTTCTGAAAACAAGTTAAATGAAGAAATTCAAACAGGGTAAGTGGATAGAGAGTTAAGGGGTGGAGATGGAGAGGTTATTTGTGAAAGGATGGGCATACCTCTCTAAGGTGATGGCATTTGAGCAGAGACTTGAATGATTATAAAGAAACCATGTGGAGAGAGTGTCCCAGGAAGAGTAAACAGCAGATGGAAAGGCTTGGATGCAAGAACAAGTTCGACCTGTTTGAGGAATAGCAAGGAGGGCAGGGAGGTGATGCTTAGCAAGAAAGGGGGAGAGCAGAGGGAGATGAAGTCAATGAGGTAGACAGGGGCCAGACAACATGTTCCACAGTAAGAAACTTGGATTCTATTCTAACACCAGTGCAAACTCATTGGACAGTTTGGAGCTGGGGATGACATGTCCTCATATGCATTTTTAAAAGATCACGCTTACTCCTGAGAGATTTTTTTGTGTGTGTGAGGAAGATCAGCCCTGAGCTAAGATGCTAATCCTCCTCATTTTTTTTGCCAAGGAAGATTGGCCCTGGGCTAACATCCGTGCCCATCTTCCTCTACTTTTTATACGGAACGCCGCCACAGCAAGGCTCGACAAGCGGTGCATCAGTGCGCACCTGGGATCCGAACCTGCGAACCCTGGGCCACCAAGGTGGAGCACACGCACTTAACCACTGCACCACCGGGCCAGCCCCCATGAGTGATCTTTTTAAATTTATGGTGAAGATTAAGACTGGGGCAAGGGTGGTTGATAGGCAACTGTGAAAGGAGGGAGACCAGTTAGAAAGCTACTGCGGGAGTCCAAGCAAGAGGTTGCTGGCTTGGATTAGGTCACCAGTGGTGAAGGCAAAGCTGGGGAGAAGTGGTTGGACTCAGAATATACTTTGGAAACAAGCCAACGGGGCTTGTTGGTGGATCAGAAATTGGTGGAAGGGGTAGAATCAATTATGACTCCTTTTTGGCCTGAGCAGTTGGTGACTAGGAATGCCAATAACTGAGATAGAGAAGCCCGGATGGAAAATGGATTTGGAGGTGAGGGAAGGAGGGAGAAATCAAACGTTCCATTGGATTTGCCTATTAGATGTTCAATAGGATATGTTTAGGAGACGGGTGGATATATGAGTCTGGAGCTCAGAGGACAGATTAGGACTAGCATACACATTTGGGAATCCTCAGCATATAGGTTATATTTACAGCCACGAGGCTGGTAGAGATCGCCTAGGCAGAATGGGTAGATAATGGAGAAAAAGGAAGAGAAGAAGGCTGGGGGTCAGGGAGGAGGGGGCACCAACGAAAGTAGACGGAGCTAGAGAAGAAGACTGAGAAGGGGCAACCAGCAAGGCAGAAGGAACCAAAAGCCAAGAGAAAAGGTGTTTCAAGAAGGAGGGCAGGTCAAATGCTGCAGAGAAAATCAGTTAAGAACAAAACTGGCCAGTGGATTTTGCAAAGTGGAGACCCTTTCAGTAAAGCAGTGAGAACAAACGCCTCTGGACTGGAAGCAGCTAAAGGGAGAACGGGAGGCAAGGATGTGGAGCCTACACACCAGACACTTCTTTCAAGGAATTTTACTGTAAAGGGGGCGCTGAGAGCAGATAAAGTAGCTGGAGGGCATATGGGATCAAAGGAAGTATTTATTTTTTCTTTGTTTTCATTGAAAAAGGAGATATTACAACATGATTGTGCAGTGTTGGGACTGGTTCTATATTGGGAGGAAGTGATGATTAGGCAAGAAGGGATAGGATCCAATGCACCAGTTGAGGGGGGTGTGGTATGGGGACAAGAGAAAAGACAAAATATTCAGTTCTGTGTGCAGGTAGCAATGGAGATTTGGGAGTGGCAAGTCCTCAGTGAAATAAGATTTCACTTATTTCAATGGCTCAGTGAAATAAGAAACAAGAAGCTAATACTCTGAGTATTTGCTCACTGTGGTAGGAGGGGCGGTATCACAGATTTGAGGAGAGATGAGAAAATGGGTGGTAAGCGATTTTGCTAGGACACTAGTGTGGGACTGCCAATCATTTACCCGAGAGTAACCTCCTCTTACAGCACTTGCAACAGAATGACAATTAGAGACATTATTGAGAAAGAAACAGTAAGAGGAAAAATTCTTGTTAAGTATGAAATATTTCAAATATTTCAAATATCCAGAAGGAATTGAACCAACTCTCATGTACACACTACTCAGATTTAATCAATGTTAATATTTTGTTTTAAATATCTTTTTAAGCAGTAAAACGTTACAGTCACAATTGCAGTTCCCTTAGCACGGTCTACGTCCTTCCTCCTCTCTCTCTCAAAGTTCATTATATAAGGATAGAAAGCAGTAATGTTCCTCTTTATCTGGACCTCTCTACAGCTCTGTGGTGACTTCATTCCTCCAAATGTTGTTATTCAAGATTTACCTGTTATCTGGGTTGTCAGGGAGACGACCACAGGAAGTTCAGAAGACAAAGCCTGGACGCTGATACTGTAGTTGGTACCCGGATGCAGGTACAGGCAGATCTCAGGGGTCTGGCTGCTGGTAGTGATATTAAAGATCATTTCCTGGGCAAATTCCTTCTGATACCATCTCTGGCCCTGAATGTGGAACTGAAACATAGAAAAGTTCACTAGATGAATCGCTAGCTTGAAAGGCTCTGAACGCCTGCATACTCACCCTTTCTCACGAGCTCTCTTGCTCTCGACTCTAAAGTTTCTTCAAAGAGTGAAATACAACAGTAAGAAAATATCAGAGTTATAACACCAGAGATATTGCAGTTACAATATTATCAGTATAATAAATATATTTTTAAGTCAAAATGCACACAAAGCTGAGGCCCCAATCCTGACGACTTTCTCTTTCTCGTTCTCACACATACAAAGCACATGCAAAGTCTGTTGGCGAAACTGCAGAAGCAAAGCCAAAGAACATTTTCCTAGAAAGAAAATTAAGAATCTGAACTAAGGCTTCTCCAAAGCAGGATCTGAATTAGGATACTCCTAGCTCGTCCGGTCAAACCTGGGACGGGTTTTTCTCGTCGTCTGCCCACCCCCGTCTGACATTCCCTACACTTTCCTGTAACAACCCCGCACCTTGGCCAATAGACACACTTTTCTTCCTACTTAATTTCTTCTAGTAGCAGCTCATTCAATCCACAGTCCTCCCCTTACCTACTCACACCCACATCTAGCTTCAAAAGTTCTCCTGTACTCTCTAGGCAACACATTCAGACCCTGGTCAGAGACACTGGTATGGAGAGACACACACATGTAAAAGCCATCGTATTCCTTCCAGGGATCCTGCCTGAACATCAACTCTGCATCAGACTATGTGCACGAAGAAACCCTCACAGCTTTCTCATCAATCCTCAAGGTCTCTGTCTTCAATTACGCAGCAGAAGTGCCCATTTTCTTGTTTCTTATTGCAATTGTAACTATAAATCTTCTATTGATCATGGAAGCTATATAAGTAGATTTTTAGGTTTGTTGATATTTTTTAAACCTCCCACATAAGACAAACACCTATAAATAGAGTAACTTGCAATAACTTACTAGATACATCTCTTCTATATCAGCCGTCATCATACTTCTCCATCTCAAGCAGGTTTCATTAACTATTGAAATGTTACCAATGGTCTGTTTCACTGCAGGGGGAAAAGAAAGAGAAATCAACTTACACTCTATACAAAAATACTACTTTTTGTAGTATTTTTAACTGAACCGTTTTCCAAGGGTAAGCATTTACATAGGATGATTTCAGCGTAATTTTAATTTAGAAATTAGTGGTAGCAGTCCAAGAAACACCACTTTTATGTTTATGTAAACTCAGTCCTGATGAAAGATTTAAGATCAAAAGATACACAATCAGAGGATCCGTCTTAAAAATTATTTAAATCTATTCATTGCAAACTCCCTTAGTAAAAATTGCAACTCATTGTCCCAGCCTTGGACAACCTCATCTATACAAATAAGCATCATTTGAAATTCTCAGCTGAGAGCAACATTTCAGCAGAGAACTGAGAATTGCTCCTTGAGGAACTGAAAAAGGCAATCTCAAGCAGTCAGGCCTTTCATGATGAAAAGGGAGGAGGGGTCTCTCTTGGTTTGGGCTTTCTCATCTCTGAGGATCAAAGAAGCATTTGTTGGCCTCTGCTCAATTTCATGGTAATCAATCGAAAAGGTGGTTCAGATCTGGTCCAGTGTAATATAGAGGCACATCCCCCAAGCTTTTTAAAATAAAGACTACTTATTCAAAACTCTGATATCAGAGGTTACTTCCTTCCACAATGACCCCTGTGCCTAAACTGGAAGTAATAGAGCAGACTTGCTAAGAAGTTTCACAGGAACACTGGTGATTAATAAGTGATAAAGACAACTCCCAAAGCACCTGAAAAAAAGCACTCCCAAGGCTTTATTGTGTAAGCCCCTGGCCTGACAGGTTCCTGTGAATGAAGCCAAGTTGGTAGACGTGACCCCTCTTTATCGATTGGGCAGCTTTGCACAGAGAAAACCTGCTCCACAGGTCCCAAAGCTATATTTCAAATGTTGTAACACAGAGTAGGTAAGAAAGTATAGATGATTCACGATAACGCAACCTCACTGCTGCATAGAGAAGATGTTTTTAGAGATGTTATAGTGGTCCAAGGAACCTCACATTTATAAAATTTTCAAAAACCAAATAACTCCAATACTCTTTTAAACAGTTCCAGACCATACAAAAAGGTAGAAAGTTTCCCAATTTGTTCAATGTGACTAGATAATCCACAATGCCCAAACTGTACAAGGATGGCAGAACCAATCACTAAACACACTATGCCAAACTCACTTCTTAATATAAATACAAAAATCCAAAAAACATATTAGCAAATAGAAGTCAGCAGTACATTCAAAGAACAATACACTATGACCAAGGGAGATTTATTCCAGGAATACAGAAACAATCATTATTGGGAAAGCTATTAATAGATTAAAAGAGAAAAACCATACGGTTACTTTTATAACCATAATGGTTAATATATTTAATATACATTCCTGACTACAAATCTTAGTAAACTAGGACTTAATTTGACAGAAATTCATTAATTTAAAAGTGTTTATTAGGAAACCACCATACCTAGTGGTAAAACAATGAAGCAATTTCTAGTAAAGTTAAGAACAATACAAGGATGCATGGCCTCATAGCTATTATTTAGCATTAGTCAGAAGATTCTAGACAATGCAGAAAGAGGCAAGAAAAAAAATGAGCTATAAATACCAGAAAGAAAGGGAACAAATGAGGCCATTGCCAGTAAATCTAAGAGAATCAACTGAGAAACAAATATAAAATTGTTTGAAAACAAATACAAAAAATAGGAGTTTGGTAAAGTGCACCCAAATATAAGAATGCAGAAAAACAAATTGGTTTCTGTATATCTGCAAGGACAAGTATGGTAGGCTGAATAGTGGCCCCCCAGAGATGTCCACTTCCTAGTCCCTGGAATCTGAAGTCATGTTACCTTACAGAAGGAATTTGCAAATGTGATTAAGATAAGGAGATTATCCTGGATTATCCAGTGGGCCCAATGTAGTGACAAGCGTCCCTCTAAGAGGGAGACAAGAAGATCAGGGTTAGAGAGAGATTTAAGGACGAAAGCAAAGGTTAAACTGATGAGCTTTAAAGGTGGAAGATGGGGCCACTAGCCAAGGAATGAAGGTAGGCTCTAGAAACCGGAAAGGGCAAGGAAATGGATTCTCCCTTCGAGCCCCTAGGCCTGCCGCCACCTTGATTTTAACCCAGTGAAGCTGATTCAGACTTCTGACCTCCAGAACTATAAGACAGTAAATTCGTGTTGTTTTAAGCCACTAAATTTGCAGAAATTTATCATACAAGCAATAGAAAACTAAAACAACAAATAAAATGCAATAGAAAAATTAAAAGATCCCTATTCACAAGCGAAGAAACCAAGAACAAGCTACAAATACCTAGAAATAAATCTAACTAGAAATATCCAAGACTTACATGAAGTTTTTTTTTTTTCTTTTTCTGAAGGACATAAAATAAAACAATAAAGAGAGAAATGCCACATCCTTGAATGGAAAGACTCAAAAGTGAAAAGACATCAATTCTCCACCAGTTAACCTATAAATGGAATGTACTTCCAATGGTGAGTCCAATGGACTTTCTTGCAACATGGTAAGTTTACACATTCATTCAGTGAATATTTTGAAAGTTCTCACCAGGTGCCAGGCATGCTTTAGGGGCTAAGGATAAAGGGGAGAGAAAACAAAGTCCCTGCACCTAATAGAATCCATCCTAGGGAGAAAGGCAGAAAATAAACACATAAACAAATAAATAAAAAAATATAATCCTGTGCACTGGTGAAGACTATAAAGAAAAGCATCGTCCAAGGATAGAAAGGATGGTCAGGGAAGCCCCTCTGTGGAGGTGCTATGTGAGCAGAGACCTGAAGGACATGAGTGATGAGCCACCAAGAGTGGAGGAAGAGGGCTCAGACAGAGGGCACTCCAAGGTCAAAGTCCCAGATGCAGGAATCAGCTTGGCGCCCTCAATGAACAGAAAGCAATTACTGCTAAATTTCTCCAGGAAGATTAAGAAGAATAGCAAGAAAAGAAATTGAGGGCCAGCCTTGGTGGCCTAGTGGTTAAGTTTGGCATGCTCTGCTTCAGCAGCCGGGGTTCGGTTCCCTGGCGCAGACCCACATCACTCGTCTGTCAGTGGCCATGCTGTGGAGGCGGCTCACATACAAAAAGAGGAAGACTGGCAACAGATGTTAGCGCAGGGTGAATCTTTCTCAGCAACAAATAATAAATTTAAAAAAAGAAATTGAAATATAAACATTGCAAGAGGACATAACCAGGTATCAGTGTTTCTCAACCTTTTTCATTATAGCCCCACAAGGGGCCTCTTTAAATATTTTTTTCCTGATCTTTCACCTTCTATAAAATTTTAATACCACAGACATGCTGTATATTTCTTATGTACTATGTTTATCTATGCTTCATACATAAAAAGAATATTTTTTTGCCCCTCAATTTTTTCCCCCTTGTGGGCAATTTTGCCCCCCTGAGGTGGTACCACCCCCCTCACTGAGAATGCTAGAGTAATTAGACAGTTCGTTCCTAGCAAAGGAATAAACAAATAGATCAATGGAATGGAGTAGAATCCAGAAATCAATCTATCTATGCATGGGAATTTATATAAGAGTGGAATTGCAAATTGGTGGGAAATAAATTGAGTTGGGAAATAGTTGGGAATAGAGATAAACTAATATTAGATTCCCACTTTGATATAACAGGCAAAAGTGATTCCAGCTGTATTAAATTTTCTTTTATGATTCAGTATTTCTCAGTATATTCATGATGTTGTGCAACCATCAATATTATCTAATTCAGTAACATTCTCATCACCCCAAAAAGAAACCCCATACCATTAAGAAGTCATTCCCCATTTTCCCCTCCCCCAGCCCCTGGCAACCACAAATCTACTTTCTTCTCTCTAGGGATTTGTGTATTCTGGAAATTTCATATAAATGGAATCAAACACTATGTGGGCTGGGTCATGAAACTTGAGCTCTTCACCTTTACCAAATGCTGTGACAATCCTCCTCCTCCCACCCTCCACCCCTACACACAGCTTTCCTCTTGTCCCCAGAGAAGGGCCTTCTCCCTGGTGTTCAAGCAGTATAAGCAGGTACTCACAAAAGCCTTGGGGCAGGTCTGGGTTCAAATTCTGGCTCTGTCTTGAACGATTTACTCATTTTTCCTGCTGTTGCCTTCTGAAAATTCTTTGTCATTGTTAATTTTTTAAAAATAAACTTTCAATTTTAGATATACAGAAAAATTGCAAATTAAAATTTTATTTATTTATTATTTTTTTGGTGAGGGAGGTTGGCCATGAGCTAACATCCGTTGCCAATCTTCCTCTTTTTGCTGAGGAAGATTGTCCCTGAGCTAACATCTGTGCCCGTCTTCCTCTACTTTGTATATGGGAGGCCAGCACAGCATGGCTGATGAGCGGTGTGTAGGTCCACGAGTGGGATCCGAACCTGCGAACCCCAGGCAGCCGACACAGAGTGCCCAGACTTAACCACTATGCCACTGGGCTGGCCCCTGAAAATTAAAATTTTTAATTAAAAAATATACTAGAAGAGAATATAGAAAAATAGTTCTATAATCTTGGGTGGGAAAGAAATAAGAAAACTAGAAAATATTTCTTTTTTAACTTGACTAAATAAAATGTTAAATTTTTTTGATGGCAAAAGATATAACAACCTTTAAGTTTGAAAGACAAACAACAAACTGGGAAAAAAATTGTAACATATTTGAAAAAGTTGATGGCCCTGATATCTAAGGAGCACTTAACATGAGGAAAAATACCACGACCAACATACAAAAACAAGCAATAACTAGAAAAAATGATCCATAGGAGAACTGTAATAGGCCATTAAATAATCAAAGAGGTACAAATCAAAACAAAATAAAATATGCTTTTCATTTATTAGACTCTCAAACATTAAAAAATTATAATATCCTATGTTGGTGAAGGTATTGGAAAACAGGTATGTGTGTAAATTGATACAATCTTTGTGAAGAGGAATTTATGAGGCTCTTTATCTTGGCAATTCCACTCTTAAGACTCAACTCT